AGGAACCACAAAAGCTAGGCGGCTGAGATTTTGGTATAGTGCTCCCCGCCAACGCGGCAAATTTAAATCCAGCCTTCTCGTGCCCGCAGGTGACACGTACGGCCCCGTGAAAGTTCTTTACGGGTAAATTGATATCTCAGGAATCACGGAGTCTAGGAGGCTGAAATTTTACGGTAATGATCCCCTGCCCACGCTCAACCTTGCCTATTCAAATCCAGCGTTCCCTCGCTGTTGAGTATCACCTACGGCCTCGTGAGAATTTTGGCGGTTAAGCTATTAACTCGAAAATCACGGAAAGATATTCACCCTTCAAGGTTTCGAATCCAGCTTTCATGCGCTGATGCGTGAAATTTTTAACTATTTTTCAATTGTTGAACTATTTTTGCACAGACAAAAGTATAAAGCAGTGAAAATCATTACAGGCAATCGTTCGTTGAGCTGAATTGCACAAAACGCATGATCGCACCGGCTTTCTGGTGCGCGTTGCTATTTATTTATGAATGTAATGCTCAGGTGAAGCTGAGGTCGAATAGGTTTGATTGGATTTACACAAAAATTCCACACAATCCCAACGCGTTGCCTTCGGCAGTCTGCGACAGTGCACTGACTCCTCTCAGTTTTTCTTGCCTCCAAAATCTCACAGAAGCAAAATCTGAACCCACTCCCATACATCCACTCTACCCCTCTTCTTGCTCAATTCATACCCTACAATGGAACTTATTCGCTTTCAGCTTTACCTAAGCATCAGCCTCACAAATAGGAAAGTCCCTACAGGCAATAGTTTCTTACAGAACAATTTCCACTGGCACAGGTTCGATTTTTTGGCCTTTGCTTTTATTCATAGACTCAGGTATGCTTTAATTTGCTTTTCTTTGTAGTGCTGTGCTGTTTCTTTCCCTTTATTGCTGTATTCAGTTCTTGCCTCGAGCTCCTGACTTGCATCCTCGTTCCCCCTTCTGTATCCTTTCCCCAAATCTTGCCTGCAAAGTCACAAAGTAACAACTGAGCTTCTCTCCATCTCCCCTATAACAGCACTCCGAATATCTGCGGCAAAGAACCAGCAGCACTGTTCCTCCTCATTCCCATCCTCCACCCCCTCCCCCTTCCCCCGCCCCTCTCCCCCATCTCGTCCCCGTCCCATTCCCCAAACGTACGCATTCCAGCCAACCGGTAAGGAATCTGCGCCACGCAGTCATTAAATCCTCCTACCCCAGTCCTCCTCCTCT